CTCCTTCCAAATGGTTCCAGTCCCTACCAGTGGTATTCCCTGAATTATAAAGGGTTGTCCCTGTTCCATTAGCAACTGTCAGGTTAGCTTTTACATAGAAATATTTACTCAAAGATAGAATTACAAATATACAATCTCATACCCCCTAACATGCAGTAAGCTTAATCCCCTTCCCTCTTACACCTAGTTTCTGGGAGATACTGAGGTTCATAACTTAGTTCATTTCCTAAAGAGCATAGTTCCAGTTCCAAGTCCAAACCCTACCCTCAGGCTCAAGTCTCAGGGATGTTGCCTTTTCAGGGTTTCTGTGCTGGGCTGATTGGCTGTACCATCCTGCCTGAAATCCTGGTTTAAAGGTCAACATGCTTTGAACTTCCAGGTTCCATGGAGATCCCCTCTGGTACCTGAAATTGAGGAAAACAAACAACACAGAACAGAAACAAATATACCTCAGGTTCATTTCTAAGGGCTGGAGTAAAAGAGAGAGGCAAGTATAGTCCTTCACCTCCCACCAGTTCATTTCAAGGCATCAAGCTATCTTTAGAACTAGGGGGAGAGATTCCGAAGGTTTAGATTTGAAAGGCTAGAGGAAACATGGCATTTCTAGCACTCTCCTAAGAAAGAAAAGAATCATCAGCTCTTAGGCAACTTAGCGTAGAAAATCCAAGCTAATGGAAGCCCCCAAAATGGTTGACTTTTTCCTCAACTTCCCCTCAAGGTGTCTGTCTATATCAACAGACACTGTGATATAACTTGCTGTTTCATTTCCCAATCCCACTATTTAGAATTTTGCCACAAAGAGATCAGGAGTTAACGAGCTAAATATTAATGTGAATGATTTAGATATAAAGGGTGAAATCATAAGTAAATTAGAGGAACGTGGAAAAAATTACCTGTGCAATCCAGGCTTCTTTGGGCATGCCCAGTTCTCCTAACATGGAGACCCCCTTGAGGGGTCTTTTGCGCATGCCCAGTTTGCTTAACATGGAGCCCACCACATTCCCTACCATATAGATGAGAGTAGCCTCCTTTGATTGATTACCTTCAACTGTTATCTGCTGCATCCGGAGGGTGAAGATCCCAGTTTACCTGTAGTGAAGATGCATTGAACGTCCCTTTCATCTTGATCAGAAGTCTTTTCTTTGAGAGAGGTAAACAAGTCAACATGCATTTATTAAATGCCTACTGTATTAGGCACTGTGCCATGTTCAGGGGACACAAAGAAAGACATAAGATAGTTCCTGCACTCAGGGAGCTCTTAGTCCAGTGGGGAAGACATTACGTAAATCATGTACAGACAAGATATGTAATCAGCAGAGGGAAGACACTAGTATTAAAGGAGATTGGGAATGGCTTCTTGTAGGAGGTTGATTTTAGCTAGACTTGACTGAAGTCAGGAGGCAAAGATGAGAAAGGAGAGTCTAGTCATGGAGGATAGCTGGTAAAAAAGCATGGAGTTGGAAAACGGAGTGTTGTGTTTGAGGAACGGCAAGAAGGCCAGATGCTTTCTCCTTTTTTTTTTTTTTTTGAACCTTCATTTCCCCTTGGAATAGCAAAACAAAACATAACAAAACAAAAACCACTTAACTCCTCTGTTTCTTTGTCTTTGGCATTCTTTGCCAATCTCATCTTATTCTGATATTTTAGGGCTTTGGACACCATTCTTATAGGACTATATACATGATTTTTTTTTGTTACTTCTTCTTTTCATCTTCTGTACATACCTTTAAAAATCTAAGTTGGTTGATCTGTCTTTTTAGACAACTTTTCCATTTTTAGAACTGTTGTTCTTTTGATCCTCAGAATTTCTGTATGGAGAGCTTTCCATTCCTCCTAAGTTCTGTCTTGTTAGAATTTTACGCTTGAGGGTCCTACCTAGCCTTTCTTTGAATCTTTTGAAATTTATTTTCCAAAATCTTGGGTACATGTCAGACTATGCTCAAATATCTTCTCTTTCTTTATTATGGATTTTCTTTCTTTCCTTTTTTTTTTTTTGGCAGTTGGGGTTAAGTGACTTGCCCAGGGTCACACAGCTAGTAAGTGTCAAGTGTTTGGTCTGAGGCCGCATTTGAACTCAGGTCCTCCTGACTTCAGGGCCAGTGCTCTATCCACTGCGCCACCTAGCTGCCCCTTTATTACATATTTTCTATGATTCTAATTAAAAGTCACATTCTCCTTGTTGGTGAGAATCTTTTCTGGAATAGCGTTTTTCTTCCTTGGTTCCTCCACTTAAAATTTTTTTTTTAATGATCCATTTTGTTTTTATATTATAGTCATTTCTGTATATTGAAGGGAAACTGGCAGTGGGCTGAGTTTGGCCGTTGAGCAGTTGTTTGTCAATCCCTGGGCTAGATGATGTCTAAGGGACCTTCCAGCTTTAACCCCTATAATGATGAAAGCACTAGGTACTTTACTAGTTACTTTCTTTACAACAACCCTGTGTGGTAAGTTATACAAGTATTATTATGCCTACATTTTACAAATATGGAAAACAATTTTTTTTTGGAGAGGCTTATCCTGATGGTTTGCCCAAAGTCGTACAGTTGGTAGTGTCAGAGCAGGGACTTGACCCCAGATGCCCTAACTTCAGATCCATTTTTTTTCCCCACTGTATCAAATAAGCTTTCACTTGGTAATGATATTTGTTTAAATCAGTCAATCAATAGGCATTTATTAAACAGCTGCTATGTAGTAGGCACTGTGCTAGGTGCTGGGTTGCAAAAATAGTAAAAAAAACATGTTCCCTGCTCTTAAGGAGTTCACATTACAATGTGAGAGACAACATGGAAAGAACTCTGTACATACAAGATATGTACAGTGTAAACGGAAGGTAATTTCATAGGGATGGCACTGGGAGAGGAGGTGAGGAGAACTGGGAAATATCTTTTGTAGAAAATGGGATTTGAGCTGAGTTTCAAGGAAAGCTAGGAACTGAAGGTAAGGAGGGAGAGCATTTAAAATTAAAATCATAGGGGCAGCAAGGTGGCTCAGTGGATAGAGCACCAGCCCTGAAGTCAGGAGGACCTGAATTCAAATCCGGCCTCAGACCAAACACTTGACACACATTAGCTGTGTGACCCTGGGCAAGTCACTTAACCCCAATTGCCCCCCCCCCAAAATTAAAAAAAAGGAAAATAATCATGATATAAAAATGAAAGTAATAAAGATTAAAAAAATTAAAATCATTGACATTTGAAATAATTTACAAGATAAAGTACCTCTGATATCATAAGATAGGAAAACAATTAAAATTATAATAATTTTATTTATAACTAAAGCAAATTATACCTACGTATATATATGTGCATGTATGTATGTGTATATATAAACACCTCACTTTTATATAATTCTGAAGTTATAAAATCCTTTCCTCATAATACCTCTACAAAGTAGGTAGCATCAAGTACTATCATACCTCTATTTTACGACTGAAGAAACTGAGGTCCGAAGATTTTTAAGTTACTTGCCTGATTCATATTTCTATAGTACTTTCAGACTTACTAGGTTTTTACCTTAAATAACCTTGAGTGGTAGGTTGTACAAGTATTATTTTACTTATACAATCTATAAAATTGTATATTTTGTAAATGTGGAAACCAGTGCTTGGAGAAGTTAGGTGGCTTGTAGATTATAGTACATATCAGCCAGATTTTGAACCTAAGTCTCATGGTGCCAAATAGATTGCATTTTGCACTGTATACCTCTTATTGTTAGCGATGCAATATTTTGCTTTGAACATTGCATTGCTATCTTTGGACTTTTTTGATAGGACTTTAAAATTCTGTTAAGGCAATTTACTGTGCTTAAAGGGACCCTTCACTTTTAACAGGCTGAATGAAAGTCATTGCACATTTGTGTTGACCCCTATTTAAATGATTGGTGTTTACTAGGAAGGCAAAGCAAGTTATGATGAAAGAAACATTTAAATCTGGCTTTAAATATAAAATTGTATAAAGATACATAAGATTCAGTTTCATAATTTTAGATGAATTGATTTACCTAACATATAAAACAAAATAATACTTTTCACTAAGTCCTGCTTGGGATAGGATAGAAAATATGTATTAAGATTCCCTGAGGGCTTACATTCTTTGGTTGCCTGGTCATTGTTTTCCTGTAACTTGTGGAATTTAATATTTATCTAGTGCTCATAGGAGTATGACATCATGGTGATGACTTCAGCATATTACTTTAAAAACAAAAATAATTAAGTATTTAAATGCAGATAGTAATATTTGAATACCTAAACCAAAAGTGTCAGACTTGCTACAAAACTACAAAACTTTCAGATGTGGCTGAACCATATGAAAATGTAATTGGGAAGTGTTTAACAAAACACAGTACAAAGATATGTAAAAATTCTGTACAAAATAGAGAAACAGATAATATTAATTTGTGGTTCTCTAAGTCAGTATGTGGCTGACAAGGCTTTGAATTTGACATCACTGCTCTAAAAAATTCTGGCATTCATACCACTGACCTTGAATAATGGAGTACAATGTCAGTTATAGTTATGGTGTTTACAATTACCAGAATTATTTGAAAATCTACTATTAAAGGTATCCCAAGGTGTTTTATCTATGTGCATAGTATTGAAAACTACTACAGGTGTTAGGTACATTAGGTTAAAGGAATGTCTTTAATTCTTTTATATCATAAAGGAGAATCTTATGGAAGCAGTGCCAAAGTTGATATTGACACTCAGGTTTTTGTCTTATTATTGTTCCACACTTTTAAAATTGGACTCAGTGAAACATTGCACTGTGTGATACAGTAGAAAGCACACCCAAGTTGTAGTTAGCTTTGCCTCTAAATTAGATCTGAGCAAGTCAGTTAACATTTGGGCTTTGCTTTCCTCATCTGTAAAATGGAAATGTTGGACTAAGTATTCTCTTAGGTTTCTTCTGTGTCTTAACATTACATGTTTGCTGTAGCACCAGGTATACTTATTTCTTCATATAGCAATTATTAAAACATTTAGTATCTATTATTTCTTTCAGCTACGACGGCAGAATTCCAAATATCCAGTTCTAGGATGAAGGAAATTGAAGCCATTCATACATCCCTGAGGGCAGAGGTAAGAAGAATTATTGATTTTTCAATTATGTGAACTTACTCCATTTCACCTTTCTTATGTCTTTCTAAACGATGTTGGTCTTCATATTACTGACCCAGGACAGCAAAATTCAGTGTCAGTAATGATAATTGAGCATACTGTTGTCAAAATGTTTGAGAAGTGATCACATATAACAGGGTTCTTAACCTTTTTTGGGTATATCATGGACTCCTTTGACATTCTGGTGAATCTTAAGGACCCCTTCTCAGAATAATATTTTTAAATGTATAAAATAAGATACATACTAGTTAAATATATTTAATTCATCTAACATAATTTAATAATACTGTTCAATTTAGAAGTGTTAAAATAAGCTGCTATATTGATAACTTTTAAAAATTATTTATTTTGCTTTAAAATTCAACCAGTTAGAGGCATGTTGTTTTTTGTCTTTGTAACCTTGATATGATAATAGTAAATAAAATTTCATTAAGCTTTGAGTCTTTTATATGAAAAATAACTACCTTAAAAATTAATATCATACAGAATGGTGTCTTTATATTTATTCCTGACTTTATACATTTTAAAAAATATACTCTTTTCTTCCCATATAGAATGAGAGACTTAAGAAACTTTGTAATGATCTGGAAGAGAAGCATGAAGCAGCAGAGCTTCAAATAAAACAGCAATCTGCAGATTACCGAAATCAACTGCAACAGAAAGAGGTGAAGGAAAATTTCAGCTTATACTATTGGAAGTATTTATTTACTTTGTTGAAACATACTGAGTAGGTTAAAATTTTTCATTTAATTTTCATTTCACTTCATGCTTAATTACATAAAAATTTAGCAGAAGATGAATTTATATTATAAAATTTAGATTATTACTAATTCAGCTGGATCTATTTTATAGGATATTAAATTACATGACTTTGTAATGACATCTGTAAGATGAAAGAGTTATATTAGAAGAACTCATAAACCCTAATGTTTCTAGCTCTTAAGTTTCTTTGATTCTGTTAGTTCCTTTCAGGTCATAGTATTAATAATTCAATATCTGCCTTTCGGGAGGAGTTATCATTGTACTAAACAAACATCATCAAAATTATTTTATTTAACTTTTTTTTGTGTAGAATTTTAAACTTCAGGCAGTGTGATACACTGTCTAGGAAGCCAGCCCCAAAGTCAGGGAGATTTGGGTTTAAGTCTCACCTCTAACACATACTGACTGTGTGACCCTACACAAGTTACTTGACCTGTCATTGCCCTAGGAAACTCTCCAGTACTATAAGCTGCAGAGCAAGTTCTCATCTGCATTGATAGAGGGAATTTTCTCACTGGGAGCCAATGGTCTAAACCATACCAATGATCCAAAAAACCCTAAACAGACAAAAACCTTCTTAGAGATAGAACACTCAACAAGCAGGCAAACTAGTGGTTTTGTTTTTTTAATTCACCCCGGGCTACTAACTAGCAGTATGACTTTGAACAAGTTGCTGAATGTTTTGTCATTTTTCAAGTTAGGGGTTGCTAGATAATCTCTGAGGCTGTTTCCAACTTTACAAAATTCTTATTCTTCAGTTTTTTAGGTGCCTCAAATCCATTTGACAATTCCTAATATTATAGCAGAAAAATAAAATGAATTATTAGATTTTAGATTTTTCTTCCAAAGTCAGGAAAACATTTATTAAGTGTTTAGTATGTGCCAAACATAGTGCTAAGCACTGGGAATACAAAGAAAGGCAAAAAACAGTCCTTTACCTCAAGGAACTCACATTCTAATGGGGGAGAAAATGTGTAAATAATTAGATACATACAAAATATATACAGAGTGGATGAAATAATCTGAAAGGAACAGGCATTAGCAGCTGGGAAGCCTGGTAAAGTAATTTTGCAGAAGGCAGGATTTGAACTGAGTTTTAAAAAAAGTCAGGGAAGCTCAGTGATAGAAGTGAAGGGGCAGATCATTCCAGGCATGTGGGACAGTCAGTACAAAAGTACAGAGACTGGAGATGAAGTGTTGTGTTCAACAGAAAGCTCGCTGGCTTATTTGTATCACAGTGTGAAGAGTGAGGTGTTAAGAAGACTGGAAATGTAGGTAGGGGCTAGGTTGTAAAGGACTTTAAACACCAAAGAGAGGACTTCACATTTGTTCTTGGAGATAATTGGGAGACACTGGAACTCATTGAGTAGGAGGGGTGATAAAGTAGGAACTATGCTTCAGAAAAATTAATCTTTTTGGCTGAATTTAGGATAGATGGTAGAATCTTGAAGTAGAGAGACTAGTTAGAAGGTTAGTGTTTGTAGATGAGAGGTGATAAGTGCCTAAACTAGAGTGGTAGCTAGGTAAATAGAGAGAAGGGATGTATGTGAGAAATATCGTAGAGGTAGAAATGATAGCATTTGGCAAGAGATTTGATATGTGGAGTGAGTAAGAGTGAGGCGTTGAGGATGACACCTAGGTTTGTGAGCCTGGGTGGCTGGGAGGGTGATGGTGCTCTCAGCAGTTAGCAGAAAAGCCTAGAAGAGGGCAAGTTTAGGGGAGAAAGATGATGACTTTTGTTTTAGACTTATTTGACATGTCTATGAGGCATCTAGTTTGAGATGTTTACCTTGTTGGAGGTGTGTGACTGTGTCTTGGCAGAGAGACGAGACTTTTTGACTAGTTAATTTTCTTATGAAAACCAGAGGCAAGCTGAGCATATTTTAGTTTATCTTTCAATAATGTTTGGCTTTATTTTAGTGAAACTATTAATTTTGTATTGTTATGGTCTTTTCTTCTTAGTAATGCTGACTAAACTTGTTAGTTAGAATCAAGAGCTCATAAACTATTAGATGAATAGGATTGTCAGTTCCATTAGGGCAGAAATTATACCCTTATGTATTCTATTTTTGAATTTTCCATAGGTTCTCAGTAAATACTTAGAGAATTGAGCCATCTTCTATTTAGCTAGCTACATGTTCAATGGTAATTTGTTTATTACCAACTGTTAGGTTTTCTGTGGGGGTGGGAGGGGTATTGAGGGAGATAGGGGAGGGTTTGATTCCTTTATTTGGTTGTTTTCCTTTTTTGCTCATTTAGTGACGTTCTGTGTTAAAAACAAGTGTGCCAAAGGAAGCCAGAAAAGTCAGCAGTCAGGATAGAGGAGGGAGAGTGATTTAGGCATGGGAAATAGCCAGTAGCTGAGAGGTGGAGTGTCCAGTTTTTGGAATAACCAGGAGGCCAGTGGTACTGGAATGGAGAGTATGTGTTGGGAAGTAAGGTATAAGAAGACTGGAAAGGTAGGAGGGTTCTATGTCATGAAGAACAAACAGAGGAAATAGAGCATTTTGTATTTGCTCCTGGAGCTAATAGGAAGCCATTAGAGTTTATTGAGTATGGGGGTGGCGGGTGGATAGGACAGTGGGGGGGTGGGGGGGGTGGGGACTGTGAGAGTGGGGGAGTGGGGTGGGGATTATGTTATGTAACATAATTGGACCTGGAATTGAAGTCCCTTCTTACTAATAAATCATGCCTCCAAGACAGAAAAAAAAATAAATGTGCGGTATTAGGATAAAACTTTTAAAAGTACAGTTATTCTATAGGGGCATATTGGTATTTTTTCTCTTTCTTGGATATGGGGTGTTTCTTTGTGATAAAAGAAATCTTTTGCATTTACAGCTGTATAACTTACTGTATTTCTGTTAAATTACTTCTATGAGGCCTTTCTACGTACTGTGTATACACTTAGAGCAATGGTTATATATTCCATTGCCTTGCTGGGAGAGAAAATAACATTTGAATACTTTCAGTGTTCTGTTGGTCTAAGTTTTCTCTTAATCATCTATTTGTTGCTCTTAACTTTGTATTCATATCGCCCCCAAAAGATGTAAATTATATAATTTTTGGAAATGTGAGTTAACTTATATGAATTAACATATGGTAATTAAATTTCCATCAGAGAGTAGCTTCAAACAGAAAATTATTTGTTGAAATATATGTAGAATATTCCATGCATATGTAGAATATTCTATTTTTCTTAAGGAAAATACAATGAAGGAAGCAACAAGTAAAGATAGCTCTTATGGCAGATTTTGGGAAATTGTGTGTGTGTGTGTGTGTGTGTGTGTGTGTGTGTGAGAGAGAGAGTATGTATTACAGTCATATTTAAATGAAAAAATTCTAGAGTTTGTTTATAGCACTGAAGAATTGATACTTTTATCTGGGTAATTTAGGTCTTAAAAACATGGCTACTTAAAATAACTTGCTTTGTTTTATATATATATATATATATATATATAAAACAGACTTAGTTTACCTGTGGTCTTTCTGACCCTGGTTTTTCTTTAGTAGCATACAGAAAATCCATAATTAACTGAGGAAATTCATTTCTGCTGTTTTAGTATATAACTTAAACTGACATGTAGTTAAAATATTAAGTTCTATGAATATCATATTAAGTTGCTTTATTAATGAAGGAAATCTTATAGTTTAAGAAGCTCCAGGTGACTGGGGATTCCTTAGTGTGCTATGCAAATTTTTGACCTTAAGTCATTTTACTATCCTGTTACTGTTAACCTATTATAAAATGGTAAATGTTGTTACCCTTAGTATCTTTACTAAAATATACATTATATATGTAGGTGGAAGTCAGCCATCTAAAGGCAAGGCAGAATGCACTACAGGATCAGTTGCAGAAGTTGCAGACAGCTGCTCAATCAGTGCATTTGGAAGTTGGCCACTTACCTTCAACAACTACATCAGCTTCCTTTGTTTCTGGAATTAGTCATCATGTTTCAGCTTTCCATGGAGATGACATGGACTTTGGGGATATAATTTGGTCACAGCAAGAAATAAACAGATTGTCAAATGAAGTTTCAAGACTTGAATCTGAAGTTGGCCATTGGAGACATATTGCTCAGGTTAAATACATGTTTTTTATCAATAGGAATTGAAATAGTGAGAGACAACATGGAATAATGGATAGAAAGCTGCCCTTGAAGTCAGGGAGACCCTTGTTGAAGTTCTGCCTCTGATATGAGCTGCCTGTGTGACTCTGGGCAAGTTGCTTAACCTTTCAGTGTCCTAGGCAGCTCCCTAAAACTAATAAGTTGCAGAGCAATTGCAGATCTACAATAAGAGAAGGATTTTTTTCTTGATGCACATTCCCCATGCCACTGAAGTCACAAGTCTAGAACTCTTCCAAGAAAAGAAAAAGAAATATAAGTACTTATTTGTAAGATGAAAATCTGTTATTAGATGATGATTTTTGCAGGACTTGAGACCCCTCTGTCTTATTTTTCATGCCTTATTATTTAATTCCTGGTACAGGGTTAGGGTGGGACATAAGATGACAGAGCAGAGACCGTCACTGTCTTGACCATGCTTTTTTCTAAGGAACCTATTTGCCTATGAGGTTCGGTAGAGCATAATTTGAAAATCATGATTTAGGTTTTAAAGTACTAGACTCAGAAAAATTGAGTTGTTTGTCATTTGGAATTAATTTTACTGCTCTAAAAACCAAAATGCCTAAGTTAAGATATATCTCATTTATTTGACTTTTGAAATTATGGTCCAGTCATATTAAGAAGGAACCTTTCCCATTATGTTAAAATAAGGAAGTGTATCTATGGTCAATACCCCTATAATTTATGCTTTCTTTAAAAACACTGAAGATTCTAGTAACCCTCAAAAACAAACCATATAAAAAGACAATCTATTTGTCCATCTCATTTCCTTAGAATATTGAAGTTTAAGGATTGCTTCTTTATGTTTTGACACATGTATGAAATCTTTGAGTTCCATAAATACTAAATGGTTTTGAAGATTAATGAGAGATTTTATGCCTTAAGTAAAAAGAGAACAACTGCAACTTAGTTTATGTTGTTATTCATACTTAGGAGCAAAGAATGTTCTAGTTATGAAGAAGAAATCCTTTATTTAAAAAAATTATACAATGTCTGTTACTAGGTTAGGGCTGGTATTAGCATTGTCTATATTTGACATTTCCATATTTTTCGTTTAAGAAACTGCCACACTGCAATTTCAGTTTCAGGACTTATTCATCAACAGAATAGTAACATTTGAAGTTTCTCTACTTAGCTTTAATCTTTATTAGAAATACTGTTTCCTCAGCTAGCTTATGGGCTTCTTAGGTAGGGATTGTATCTTCTAATTCTTTTGTATCCTCTCTAATAATTACCATAATGCTCAGTGCATTCTGGATGAAGTGAAAGCTATGTAATTAAAATTATTTAAGTTTACTGAAGAATTTTATGGCATCTTTTGGAAGCTCTCTTTTAGAGACCATGAAAGTATTTTTATGAGTCAGGAAACATATGAGCCGGGATGGAGATATGTCTAGACATAGAATAGCTTCTCTAATATTTTGAATAATTATATTTACATTATTAAGATGTTTTTATATTGGTTCTTGAAAAACCAATTTGTTTTTAGATAAATAGTGTTTTAACTTTTTACTAATGTACAAATCAAAATAGAAAAGTATGTTTTCTTAATTCTTTTTGTTTTTTAATTCAGTCTTCCAAAGCACAAGGAACAAATAGCTCTGATCAAAGTGAAATCTGTAAACTACAGAATGCTATCAAGGTAAGGTGGTGTGCTTTTATATAGACTACCATAATGTATAACTCAATTTCTGTTAAAATTGTACTTCAAAATATTAATGATGTGATTTTGTGACTATAATGCTCACTTATTTCCTGTCTGTATTTCATACCATCTCTGCTTACTGTTTAAGGTACATAAAAAGACAACTCTTTGTACATGATAATTTCCACAGTACGCTGTATATGTGTTTGTATATGTGTGTGATATAGACACATGTACATGTATACACATAATATGTATATGTGTATAACATGTGCTTTTCAAAAATATAGTATTTTTCTGAAATTTTAAAAGTAGGACCAGAATCATAAATTATTCATACATGAGTTTAGGGAAGTACTTTTTTTTCAAGATTCTAGTCAAGTGTAGCTATATTTTTTGTCTAGTGAGAAACTCAAAAATTCTGCAGAGTACAACTTTGCAGAGACCATCTTTTATCTTAATACTCTGAAAAATGTTCTTAATGTTTCTGAAGAGGCTTTTTTCATGGGTTTCTTATGGACTTGTTGATGAGGCACTGCTACATATACCTTTGTTATATTTAGGAATAGCCTTATTAAATGACTAGTCTCTAAGCTGAGACAGTCTCATTTGATACCACTCTGTAATTCATTAATGAGTCAAGCTTTGCAGTGGAATGAACATTGGACTTGGTTTTGGAAAGACCTGGGTTTGAGCCCCAGCTTTGCTAATTGTATGACACTGATAAGCAACTTTGCCTTTCAGTTTCTAGGCTTCAGTTCCACTTCTAAAATGGGGATAATAATACATTTATTACTAAATCGTAGGGTTGTTTTAAATACTTTGTAACTCTTAAAGCACTAAAGAAATGTAAGTGGTTTTCATTCACTCAGAGATATAGAGTTTATAAGGCTATATATTTTGACCAAGATTGATTATATAGTTTATCTTTATTAAACAAGAATTCCAAGGTCACAGAAGTTGATGCAGTATTTAATTGCCATTCAGGTGAGGAAATGTTGATTACTTCAGTGTTATAATTTATGTTATTGAGTGAAATTAATTTCTTTGTCCCAGAAGTAGAATCCTTCCAATTTGTATCAGTTTTTTTTCTTTCAAGAAAACTGTGTATTTGTGTATACCTGTATGTATGTACTTAGGTATGTAAAAATAATGAATTATCTTTATGGTATGAATTACTTCTGGGTACTTATTATTGAACATAATTAATTTAGATAAGTTTTTATATAGTCAGTTCTATATCTATGTATGGAATATCACTTGGGGGATTATTTTAGCCGTTTAAAAAAACTTTGACTCTTCCTTCTGTCAACCAGCTTGCTTTTAGAATAGCTTTGCCCTGCAGTCAGTTGGTGTGTATACAAGGACGATTTTATTGGCCTACACCAAATACAACAAAAAATGTAAATGACTACAGAAAAGTTACGAAATGTCAGCCAAAGTGATTTTTAAAAATTTATATGCTATTTTTGATTTGCTTATTTTCTGTTGACTTTCAGTTTATTTTTGTTCCATTAAGCAGGGATAATCTAAGTGGAAATAGAAACTTCTATTTTTGAAAGCTTGATTGGAGAGAAGGAATAATTTCAGATTATTTCAAATTTAGGTTCTGAGTTAAAATTACTCTTAAATTTGAAATACTTAGGATGTTTTAGTGTTTTAATATAATAATTTAAAACTGACAACAGTAACTGATTTATATTCCTTTTATTTATTGAACTTAAAGGAGGATTGTTCCTTTTTTTTATTTTTAGGAGCTTAAACAGAAGTTAAGTCAGGAAATTGATGATCATCAACATGAACTGTCAGTATTACAAGATGCACATCGGCATAAACTAGGAGAGATAAGTCGTAGGCATAGAGAAGAATTGGGTGAATATGAAGAAAGAATTGAAGAACTTGAAAATCTGTTACATCAAGGTATTTAGTCTTGCCTTCATTATGGTTACTTTGTAATTGATAAATTATCTATGTAAATATATTATTATTATCTGAAAATCATTGACACAAGATCAGTATATGTAATAAATATAACAGAGGTTCCTGAGATCTAATTGGTTTGTTTAGTGGCAGTTACAGCCATGAAGAATTCACTGACAGGCCACTATAATCCCTTTTCACTAATAACAAATGGCTAGTATAAATTAACTAATAAAGAGTTAATTTATATTAACTCTGTTATATATTAGAATTGCATTATAACTATTAACTCCTTTTTTAAACTATATTAACTTTTGGAAGCATAATTTCTCTTGATACATTTTAAGGTTATGTTTCATGATTATAATTCTTGTGCTTCTACTAAGAGCTGACCAGAAAGAGTTATTTGTTATAGGTCTAAAGTACTAAATTTATATCAATTTCATCTATCAGAGACTGACCCCTTATATTTTTATTAACTTCTTGGTATTTATCAGTCTCATATATTCAAGAATGTAGAAGTTGAAATTTTTGTTGGAGAGTTTCCACTTCAGAAAGTTTAGCAGTAGTTGTCTCTTCATGGTAGAATAGGACAGAAGTGTCCACATATTATCATTTTCCATACCTTTTTAGTCTCTCTTTTGCTACCACTTTTTCTAGATAGTGGTAGCTCCTGGTGCACCAGATTAAGGAGCCAGAGTCTGGCTTCTAAAGGATTGTATGCAAAACTAGAATTCCTATCGTGGAGCTGGATTTCAGGTTAGGAAGTTGGGCTTCAATTTCCTGATCATGAAAGTTCCAGTACAGTCTGGGCATTTTACAGTAATGACGCTGAACAGGCTAGTTTGGAAGAATGACCTGATTTTACTCAAAAGTTTGCAATAATGATAATCTGGCTACCAAAATTTTTTATCATCTCTCACAACCTACTGGCATATAGAATCTCATGGTTTGAAAAGACTTAAAGGTCATATAATATAACCTGTTCTGGAATCAGAATTCTGTTTTACAACTTCATTTACAATTCTTTCTTTAGTGGTAAATGGATTGGAATTGCAAATTTCCATTGTACATCTTGGTGAAAACACTTTAAAAATAATGGAAAGTGTTTTTATTTTATTTCAAACTCAGGTGTACATTTCAGCAAGTGTTTCATGACTTTTTTTTTTTAAATTTAGTGCTTTAAAAATAATTAGAATAGTTTTTATTATTTTGAACTTGATGAAAGAGTATTTCTATATATAAGGAACAGAAAAAGAGGGAAGATTATGCATGAAATCATGAATTTCTATTACATATAGTTTATCACATTAGTTCCTGTCTATCCTGCTTATCTTTGTTTTCCCCTGTATCTCCTTTAGTTCTTTTCTGCTCACTTTTTATATATGCCTCATTGATGCCACTATCTTCTTTTTTTTCCTGCTTTGCTGTCATTACCTGCTGTTTTCTCATTCACCCCCCCCAAAATTTTGATAAATAAGCCTAGTCAAGTAATATGAATTCAATATGTTGGCCATTACTAAAAATGTACATCTCATTATTTACCTCTAGTCCATCATCTCCTTGTTAAGACTTGGGAAGCAAGTTCTATCTTGGTCCTCTAGAATCATAGTTGATCAGTGCATTGAACAGTTATCACGACTTTCAGAGTTGTTTTTCTTTAATGTTGTAGTAATTGTATAATTGTCCTCCTAGTTCAACTAATTTCCTACTAGTCGTAGGTTTTTCTGAATTTGATCCTTTTGTCATTTCCTAAGGTACAGTGATAATTCCATTTCACTAATTTGTTTAGCCATTTTCCAATTGATAGGTACTCCCTTAGCTCCTAGTTCTTTGCTGCAACAAAAAGTGTTATTTTGATATTTTTGTACATATGCATCCTTTCTCTCTTTTTTTGATCTCTTTGGAATATAAGTCTCAAGTTGTATCCCTTTGTCAAAGGGTATGCACAGTTAAGTGCCATAATTTTTTTTTTAGGTTCAATTTCAGGTTTCTTTCTAGAATGGCTATACCAGTTCACAGCTCTATGAACAGTGCATGTGCTATGCCTATTCTCCCATTTCCTTCATTAATGGTCATTTTCCCTTTTTTTTTTTTAATCATCTTTGCCAATCTGATGTGAAGTGAAGCCTTGGAAACAGTGACTTCCAAATGGTAGCTTTAGTTTAGTTTAGTAACATTTTAAGCTTTTAAAAATTTTTATTGCTTTGCCTAGCATATTTCCTTGGGCTTTCAATTCTTAATTGTCTTAAATTTTATATTTGTTTTCTAGATGGCTCAGAGATTGGACTTACTGATCATTCTAAAGTTCATGAAATGCAAAAAACTATTCATATTCTACAAGCTGAAAAAACTGAATCAGTGAAGAAAATACAAGAACTTGAGGTTGAAATAAAAGATAAAGACCAAAAATTGTCTGTAACAGAAAATGAGAAAGAAATCTTGAAGAAAATACAAGAACTTTTAAATGTGGAAAAAAGCCAAATAATACAGGAATGTGAAAGGCTGAAAATGGAAGTCAGTCAGTTTATTACAACAAAAGAAGAAAGAATTCTCCCAGATAATATGTCTGTCAAAGAGGAGCTATTGAGACTACAACAAGCATTGTCTGGTATGAGAAGTTTTTGAATTTTAGATTATTACAAATCTTAGCACATAGTAGGTACTTGATAGTTTTGAATATATGAATAAATTGCTTCTCTGCACACTATTTCGTATTAGAAAGTTAATTATTCATGGCATAAAAGCCACTGTTGAAATGCTCTGACCTTAAAATGACTAGAAAATATTAATAGAACTGTTTTATTCATTTCTATTTATATTAGGTTGTGAATGGCATTTCTTAAGCAAATCTTAAGGATGACTAGTATCCAAATTCCATCTCTCTCTTTTTTCCTTCCAGTTTCCAAATGGGTATGGCTTATGTTATAGGGGGGCATGTAGATTGAGAAATTTTTGTTCCTTCTAATATCATTGGAGAAAGCTGACAGAGTGCTCTTTCTTTTGTCTAAGTTGGTTGGCTAGTGAATCTATTCTAATGATGTGACCTAATGATCACACAGGCAGTTCACTTAGTGAGTGTAGCTAGTCCCACTAGTCTTGCACCTTGTAGTAGTCTCATGTCTATACGTTTGGATGATAAGAAAAGGGGTTTTCTATTTCTATGTCCAGCAGGCCACAGTTTCCTTTTGTGCATATGGGAGAGCATATAACCCATTTTGTTAAGTTTTGTAATTTTTGAACAATATATACCACATTGAAATGCTGTTTATCTTTTAAAAGGAGTTATTTTATTAGGGCTTTTTTTTTAAACTCTAGGTTTCTCCATCTCACCCAGGCTGGAAGTACAAGCAGCCACTCACAGACCGCATTTCAATATTGTGATTGGCATAGAAATTTTATATTTTAAAAATTTGGCATAGAAATTTTAAAATAGAGTCTGCCCCTCTTTTAGGCAGTGTGGTGGCTGGCCCCATCACTCCCAGGGGCTTATCTGGTACCAGACTTAGTGTGTACTTTAGCTTAGTGTGTACTTTACTAGAGCTTAGAACTTGTGAGTTCAAGTGATCCGTCAGCTCATCCTCCCCAGTAGCAGAGATTACAGGTCTCTGTACAGGTGTGTAGCAACATGACTGATAAAAGGAATGAGTACAATTTATTATCTGACTGCTGTTTTGTGCATCAAAATCATAATTACTTAATAGGCAGGCTAAGATCAGCATTTTTGGAAAGCAGAAGTGAATGGCTTGGAGTGTTAGAACAGAATGACAAATGATATAGTGAAAACAATTTTTTGCTGCATTTTTTCATCTAGTATCTTGTTATGCTCTTTTATTTTTCTCTCTAAAAACTTTTATCTTAACCTGTTTAAACACTTAAAAGTTGGATTTTATTTTTTGTTGACTCTAAATTTTTTTTTCTAGAAGCAGTACCTTCTAAAATTGTTATCTGTGTTAGGTATTGTAGAACTCTGTTGTAGGAATTATTTAAATTTTTTCTTTTTCCATCTTAGTCCCCACAGTCTTTCCTAATATCCAAAATAGGTTAATCATATTTTTGAACCATGTAATAGTTGTGTTTTTTGCTTTTAATAAAAACCATAATTGTAACCCATGTAGAATTAAGTTATAATTCTGTGCTATTTGACAGCTTTTTTGTCTTGATTGTATAGCACGGGTTGGGCAGGCACGGATAGGTTGTGATCTACATTGTTGGAAGGAGGGCTAACTTTGAAATCACTGATCCATTGGAGTATATTGTCTGAAGGTATGGTGAATATACTATGAAATACCTGATACCTTAGGATATGGTTGTGATAAGCTTATGCAAGTACTATTCACTTAATTATATTTGTCAACATGCATTCTGCTTATGTTAATTGTGTTGTGGGTGCACATTGTATTTTTGAATTTAGAATATAGGTGCTGATTTATTCTTAATTATGAAAGTTTTACAACTAGGAATTCAATTTTCTTTTTCAAATTTAACATGAAATTATTTGTTTTCACAGATGCGCAAAAGGAAATAACGAGACTGAGTAATTTAAATCAGGTAAACTCATTTCAAAGGAGAATTTTTGGTATAACATTAGTTCTTAAGCATTTATAAAAAAAATTACACAGTTGGTTTTACTCTCTTAACTTTTGCTGGACATTCACATGTATTTACTTAAGGAAGCTTTTACCCTTTGTACTTTTATCTGTTTCTATTAATATCACAAACTTTTTGTTTCATAATACAGATCTGAGCAATTTGTTACAATGTAAAGGCTAATTTAAGACGCATGGTGACTTATGTGTGAGAAAGCATTGGAATATGGAGATAGAGCAGTTTTCATGAAATGTAGAATCTATTTTGAGTTTTTATTAAAATACAGAAGGACATTCTTTTTTAAAAATGGCTTGAGACTTTTTTGATGGTTTGAATATGCCTAAGGTGAATGTTCTTAATGTGAACATAGAAATTCTTTAAAAGAATAGAATGTTTTTAAAATGAGGAGGATGACTGAGATATTTCTTAAGCATCCAACTCCTTAAATCTATGGTTATGTTTAAGAATACTTGAGAAAAGAACTAAATATTTTCCATAGTTTTTTTTTTTAACATAGTACTTTTCTCACAACCACCATATGAGGTTAATGGTGCAAAGATGTTCATTCCTGATTTATAGATACAATCTAAGCAGTTGAAGTTCCTAATATTCCATAGTGTAGTTTACTAGAATTTTCACTTGAAATTCTTTATTGATTTTCTGAAATTTACTGTGGAATATTTTTATAGGGAAACAGTCTTACCGAAGACAGTCTAGAACTTAAGAAGAGTCTGCAAATACTAAAAGAAGAAAATTCATCATTAAATCAAGAAAAGGTATATGCTGTGGAAATGACATTAAAATATCTTTTAAAAAAATTTTATTTTTTTAATGTAAATTAAAAGCAATAAATGTTAAAAAAATAAGAATTTAAAACTTTCTCAAAAACAAATTGAAGTTCATTTTTAGTTATTTCAAACTCAGAATGAATTTTCCCATAAAGTTTAATAATGGCAGCTATGTTCTTAGGCCAGCCCATAAAACTTATTTAACTTTTAATCTAGTTAAACTATATAGTCCTTATTTTCTATTGCTGGATTTACAGTACAGGGCAGCCTTATAGCTGGCTAAGATCCCAGGCCTCTGAGGTCCATTCCAAGTTTAAATCTATTATCCTATGAAATAGAGAAGGATGAAGACTAGAAATTATGGCCAGGGTATTAAATCATGTTCAAAAAGGGATGTTTAGCTATTCTGAATTCTATTAGTGAAACTGAAATTGAGATTCAAAGCATCAGGCCACACTGTAACACCGAAGCAAGATTTATCAGTTGAAGAGCTGAACCAGACTCTGCACTGAGTGACCCAAATGGGGCCAAAGTCATAGTCATCATGCACAAACATGGTTTGGTATTCAGGATTTGTTTGAACTAGACATAAGGAAACAGATGATGATTGGAGTTTGTAAGGGGAAGCTTAAGAACAGGCTTACTAGAAGAACCAGAACAAGGAAGGAAAGAAACAAGCATTTGTTAAGCGCTTATTGTGTTCTAGGCACTGTGGTAAACATTTTACAAATATTATCTCATATGATCCTCAAAACACCCCTTAGAGGAAGATGTTATTATTATCTCCATTTTACAGTTGAGGAAACTGAGGAAGACAGAGGCTCAGTAACTTGCCCAAGGTCTTAGGGCTAGTAAGTTTCTGAGGCTAGATTTGAAATTGGGTCTTTTTGACTCTGGGCACATTGCTTTATCTCTTGTGCCACTTAGCTGACTCTAGAACAAACAGGCAAGTCCATGCAATATTGCAACCATGACGAGGTTAACTCTACTTCCTGAAAGTCTTTTTTTTTTTTAATTTTTCTGGTTCTATTTTAAATGCTCTACCTCATGTGGAATAATGAAAGCTGATCATGTGAAGTATTCTTTAAAGTGAAGTAGGATTCTTTGGTTTCTAGTGATGGTAACCCATGGGTTGGTCTTCTTGAGAACCCTGAAAGTTCCTATTTATTTATTTATTTATTTATCTATCTCTCTATCTATTTATTTATTTTTTTGTTTATTTGTTTTGGTTAGGCAGTGGGGTTAAGTGACTTGCCCAGGGTCACACAGCTAGTAAGTGTTATGTGTCTGAGACCGGATTTGAACTCAGGTCCTCCTGACTCCAGGGCTGGTGCTCTATCCACTGTGTGACCTAGTTGCCCCCCTGAAAGTTCTTATAATAGGACTCTAGAACTTAACCAGTACTTGTAATACTATTTCTATGTGAAAATGTATTCAGAATTCCATCTTGATATATCAAGTAGTACATGTTTGTTCACTACAGCCTCAACTTTTAGAACATGGACTGCTTTCTCGGTCCCTTGCCTAGTAGGTCAATGGAAGTAGGGACTTCTCTAACTCTAGGGCATCAGCAACAGTTCATGGGGTTGGGGGAAACAGGATGTTTTGGCAGTTGAGTTAGGGGTTCCTTGATATCAGTGACATGATTAGAAACTCCAGGAGGCAGATCTGGGTGTCTTTGAAATACTCTTGGATGGTGGTGATCATTCTTACAAAAGGAATGACTGAGGAATAAAAAGTTGAAGTGCAGTTGTAATACCTATAGGTTAGGGGGTAATATCCTTGGAAGTGGATTTGGCAGTGAGGTGTGTGGTTATAGAAAAGACATTTTAGCCAATGGTTTTTCATATGTAACACATAAGAAAGTTGGTCATTTTTAGTTTGGTTGCTGCCATCATACACTGTAATATTTTTGTTGAATTTTTATATTTGGTAAGGATGTGCTATATAGGATAGCACAACCTTTATTAGCCATTTTTCTGTTATTGGGAAGATGGGTTTGGGTACTTATGTCTGCTTCACTGTAGTTCCACATGGACCTTTCCAGCATTCATTCATCTATTTCAAGCATTCATTCATTCAAATCCACCCATTCATTCATTCATTTATTCAATGGAAACCCTTTAAAGGCCTGTAATTTACAGTGCAAGACACTATACTATTGCTTTGAACCTAGGAGAACTAAAATGCTTTCTTAGTGAAACTCAGAGCAGTGGGTTAGCCATTCACATTGGAAAAACACTGGGTAAAAAAAATATTATCCAGACAGTCCATTTAGTTAATCCAAATACACAGATGCGTGTGTGTGTGTGTGTGTGTGTGTGTGTGTGTGTGTGTTTCTGTTTGTGTATATTTTGAACAGGCCCTATAGACAATGAACTGGGGCTCAGAATTGAGTGAGTAGAACTCAGACTGGATGATGCTTGGTAAACCAGTCAATGCTGGAAAACCTCACAGCTTTAATACCAATATTCCCTTGGTGGTGCTATATGTAACTGCGAATCATGGAACACTACAACTACATGGAAATAACCAAATCAAAACACTACATGGAAATAATCAAAATTAAAAATGATCCGAAGGGTAATGGGAAGTTGCATGTTGTATTTAAGTAGATTGTAATAGTGTTGAAAAGTAGAAAGATATTATTAAAGATTTGGTATTACCAGAAAAGGAAGTGGAGCAGTTTATGTAGCAAGAGTGAGAAACAACTGATAGCAGTTGCATTGGTGCTGCTGAAATAGTTTTAAAAAACAAAGGAAGCCCTGAAATGCATTAGGTGGATCATCTTTGAAGGATTTAAGGAATGAAATGGACAAAAATTGAACAGAATGACGTGTAATGGTGGAGGGAACACTTAAGACCTCTGAAATCATGGATCTCTCACAGTGTCAGTGTATCTTGTGCAGTGTACTATGTTAGGTCCTGGAGGGAGGAACTGACAAATACTATGCTGGTCCTAGGTTAATGAGTGTGTATCAGGTAGGTGAGATTCAAGGCACAGCCTACTTGATTCCAGGGAGATGAAATACAGAGGCTTTTGTATTATAGAATTCAATTCAATAAATATTTACTAAATTCCTATTATGTGCAAGTCGCAATGAGAAATAGAAAGATTAATAAGATCCTGTCCTCAAGAAGCTTAAAATCTGATAGTGTAGAGAAGACATGTTTGCAGGTAACTGTGATAAAGGGTAGAAGGTGATTAGTGCTGTACGAAAGATAAAGTATAGGAAATCCTAGGTAGAAGGAACAGTATGATGAAAGAGCTAGTAACAGGAAAGACATGGAAGATAAGACTGGAAAGATAATTTGGAGCTAGAATATAAGGGCCTTGAATGCCATTTTAAGGAGTTTTGAATTTATTTTGTAAGCCCTGAAAAACTATTAAAAGGTTTTGAGTAAGGTGGTGACATGCACAAAATGTGGTGCAAAACTACTTTTCTAGCCAGATTTTCCTCTCCCTGTTCTTCAGTAAAACCAGACCACTTGTTTCTTATCTAAATCCTGTACTTTACAATATTCATGCTTTTGTTTACATTCTTCCTTATGTCTAGAATACTCTCCCTTGTGTTTTTCTATTGAGTTTTTAACACAGTCTTTAAAGCCCAGCTTAAAGGTTGCTTTCTCCAGGACAAATTGTACTTCAAAAAGATGAATCTGATGGTATGTAGAATGAACTAGAAGCAGGAGAAAGGAAAACCAGAAGAAATGTAATGAGAGTCTGAATTAAGGTAGTCATAGTAGAAAAGGAAAGGAAGTAGCTGAATGCTTTTTGGATTGTATGTATGTATATATGTATGTAAATACACATAAACATACATTTACCTAGTCTTATACTTTAAACCTTAGTGTTATTGTTGAATCTTCATTTTCTCTTACTTCTAATATTTTGTTTCCATTTTTCTCCCTCACTTATCCTCTCCCTTCTGTTTCCATTATAGTTCAGGCCCTCATTAATACATTCCTAGACTATTGTTATAGTCTCCCAGTAAATAATTTTTTGTTTTCCACCAAGCTATTTGTTGATATGGCTGCCAGACTTTCTTTGTTGTCATTCATTTGTTGCAGTTGTGTCCAATTTTTCATGACCTCATTTGGGGTTTCTTGGCAAAGATAATGGAGTGGTTTGCCATTTCTTCTCCAGCTCATTTTTTTTTTTTTTGGTGAGTGCAATTGGGGTTAAGTGACTTGCCCAGAGTCACGCAGCTAGTGAGTGTTATGTGTCTGAGGCCGGATTTGAACTCAGCTCCTCCTGACTCCAAGGCCAGTGCTCTATCCACTGCTGCCACCTAGCTGCCCCCTCCAGCTCATTTTACAGATGAAGAAACTGAGGCAAACATGGTTAAGTGACTTGTCAGAGTTACATAGCTAGTAAGTGTCTGAGGCCAGATTTGAACTCAAGGAGATGAATTTTCCTGACTTCAGGCCCAGCACTCTAATCCACTTTGCCACCTGGCTGACAGACTTGCTACCATTTTGCATAGACCTGATCATGTCACTCCTCTGCTTAGAACAATTTCAGTGGCTCTCTGTAATCTATCAAAGTTCACATTCAGCCAGGCATTAATTCTAGGTCTTCCAAAATGTGGTGCAAAACTGCTTTTCTAGCTAGATCTTTCCTCTCTGTATTCTTCAGTAAAACCAGACCACTTGTCTCTTATCTAAATCCTGTACTTTACAACATTCATATTTTTGTTTACATTCATCCTTATGTCTAGGATGTTCTCCCTTGTGTTTTTCTATTGAGTTTTTAACACAGTCTTTAAAGCCCAGCTTAAAGGTTGCTTTCTCCTGGAAGCCTTTTCTGATTCCTCTCCCCACATTTCAGTTATGATCTCACATATGCACTTACACTTATGTATGTATCATGGACTTTTTTTTTCCTTCTTTTTAATTCTGAACTTAGTAAACAACAAATAAACATTTCTGTGTACGTTGTAGAATATAAAGGAGAGGATTGTACATAAACTTTGGATTTAATGTGT